ACTGGCACCACCCTAATCCCAGCAGTTGGATACGATGAAGGGGAGAAAGAAGCTTGTTTCCCCCTTTTGCTGATGCTTGTTGCTTTTTCTGTTTTCTGCCACCATGAACTGTTGCTTCTCTGTTATGTGCCACACTGCCCCAGAGCCATGTAATTATAGGTTGAAACTTCCGCAAGTTGTGAGCTAAATCTTTCCTCCCTTTGGGTGTTGGGTATTTTTTTGTCAGCAATGAGAGAAAGTTCACTAAGACAAAGGGGTACTTGGGGGCTGTGGGTATGAGAAGAGAAAGCATGCAGGAAGAGGTCTCCCAAAATACGAGGACACACAATGTTGAGGGTTCGACCCGCACTGCTGCCACAAAGAGAAAGAGTCATGGACAGGAGCTGGGCTTAGTGATAAGATGAAGCCCTGGGTTCCATCCCCAGCACCAGGAAGAAAGGAAGAGAAGGAAAGAGAGAGAGAGAGAGAGAGAGAGAGAGAGAGAGAGAGAGAGAGAGAGAGAGAGAAGAGCAGGTGGCTATATTCGTCCTGTCCACTGGCTCCATCTTCTCGTTGTGAAGGTCACAGTCAAGGACATACTGTATGCGAGGTCATACTTCTGCACTGCATGAAAACTATTACTGGAAAGGAAGAATGCATTTCTTTTTTCTGTCCAAGGCAGTTGACATCAGGAAACTCCATCCTCATCAAATAGCCATGATGCTCTGTTCTCTGGCAGTTGCCATCTGGGGGGCTCTAAAAAGTGGGATGCAGCTGAGGACCAAGATGCATACCTGAGAGACCCCCAAGCCACGAAGAGAAGTCACTCGGAGTCCCTGCTAAGCTTCCTGGCTAGGGGACTCTGCTCTCCAGCCTGTATGGCTCTCCTCCGTGCAGCCGTGGCCAGCTAGAACTGAAGTCCTGAGCAGTGCTATTGCCTGCAAGGCTGTTGAGCTTTGGGTGGTGCCAGCTGCACACCTAGATGGAGACAGACTCCAAGAAGACAAGGCATCTCCAAGGCTCAGGGACAGGAGGGCATGGAACAACCT